TGGGTAACTTCAGGTGTTTGATTTAGAAGTTATATTCTTTGTGTTCCGTATTGTATAATCACTGTATTAAAGTCCCGTTTCATTAACGTTTTATATGTTTTATCTTGACAGGGTGGATGGCAGAACCCTCTTAGAGCAGGCAGGTTTTGGGGCTTCAGGGGTTCCCCTCTCCCTGTTGTAACAGATTTTGTTCTGTAACAGATTTGGGGAGGCCTATAACAGATTCAGTTCTCTGAGCATACTTTCTAGAGAATCAGTAACCAACAATGTGCAACAAAGAATTGTTTAAGCTTCTTGACACTAATTGACTCTTCCTTAACCACTTATCTTCCTCTTTTCTTCCCGTACAAACTCCTGAGTTGTCCCTTCTAGAAACACATTCCAGGTTTTCTTCCTTAATCTCTATATAACATATTATAATTCTTTGATTTGTAGTAGCAAACACAAATTGACTTCTATATTTTCAGGTTGACATGGATCGTAGCAGGAATGGGATCTGAAGTGTTTTTACATTCGTGGACCAGTGTTCCCTAGAACTAAGTTGAAAATACCCCGAGTCCTTTCACTCAACTGCCTCAACAGACCACAGTCTCCTTGGGGCATAAACCCCTCAAGCCAGGTCATCCTTCTATAAGCCAGGTTGAGACACCCCCCCCCAGCACACAAAGTGTCATCAGGCTTCTTAAAGCTAAAACTCGTAGCAGGAAACCCTGAGCCAGGCACTTAGTTGCTGGAACTTGTGATAAGTGTTCCTGTAACGGCTATTTCTCTGCTTAGTGAGCATGCAAGGCTGCCAGCCTTAGTTCTGGTGAGTGCTCTCAACTAAAGAGTTTACTCCCCTATTGTCATTCCCTTGCCAGTTTTTTCCATAATATGCCCATGTTTTGGAACTCTGGCCATATTTATGTTAAAATAATTGTGATTTCTTTACTTTTGCAAATCTTTAACCTGATGGGAAAATTCTAAAAATGACTTAAAATTATAGTGGCCATTTTGGAGCTCCTTGACACTTCTACAAATTCTCTTTTTTGCCCTGAATTTGTAAACCACCAATTAGGAAATTAAACAAACTGAATGAGAAACTTACTTTTATTGGTATAGAAAACCTCTAAAAGACATCAAGATTCTAAAACTGTGTCCCTCTAGAATACTATTCTAAAACTGACTGAGGTCACTAAACAATTAAAAAGAAGATCAGCGGGCCCTCCTTGGTTGTGCAGCGGGTTAAAGCACTGCAGTAAGAAGCTTAAGCCACTTCCATATGAGTTAGATTCCCGCCTGCCCC